TTTCGGGTTCAGGGTTCAGGGTTCGCATTTGGGGTGTAGGGGCTTCGTCCTTCAATCTCTGCAGCAATCGACTCGTTTCTTCTTCCTGGCTTTTTCAGAGAGATTCTCGCGTTTAGGAGACCCTCTAGGGGATTTAGAGTGTCGGGCTTTATGGCTGTGAGGTTGAAGATAGCTATCATGCCCCCTATTCTTGGAACAACAAAGGGCCTGCAAAGACACCCTAAACCCTGAACCCTGAACCCTGAACAGCAAGAATGACTCCCAGCATAAGCCTCCCTGGAACAGTTTTGGGGCTTCGACTTGACTTCTTATATTCCCCCCTCAACTTGCCCTAGAATAAGTACTCTATGCAATCCCCGCATATCACCCCCTGTATCTTACCCCATGCAGATTTTTCAAAAACTAGCGGTCCTCCTTTTTGGTGTGGTGTTTTGGGGGGGGGGGGGGTACAGGAGGAGCACCCCGATTTTGGGGAAATATCCATCTGCAATTTACATTCTTGGGATGGATGAGGGTTTAGGGTCTAGGGCGGAAGTATCATTCCCATTTCAGGGTCCCTGTGAAAGTGCCCTGCATTCCTAGTCCTGGGAGACATGCTGGGTTCTTGGGGATATCGCCAGTCGCTAGCGCGCCAAAAGCCCAACGCCGCCATATAGCTGGCCCCCATGTACACCCAAACCTTGAACCCAAAGCCCTAAACTCCTGAACCCTAAAACCCAAAACCCTTAACCCTCTTGGGCGTTGATGATGAGAAAGTATGCGGTTTAGGGTGTAGGGTTTGGGATGGTTTGGGACTCTACTAGTGGGGCATGGTAGTCTGGGAGCTTTCTTCAGGGACCTCAATTTGGAAGAACCCCGTGTTCATGATTTCTCAGCTTACCAGGACTTGGTTTGTTCAAGAAACTTCCGAAGGCTCCCTAAACCTAAAACCCCTAAAATCCCTAAAAACCCTAGAAACCCTAAAAACCCTAAAAACCCTAAAAACCCTAAAAACCCTAAAAACCCTAAGCCCTAAACCTTAAACCACCAACCTAGTGGCAACCCAGGAATCGCTTTAACAGTGATTTCTGACGAACCTATGACCACGTCGTCCTTGCGGCGGGGGTGTAGATCAAAGGTTTGAAAGTGACTGTGAATTTTAGAGGCACTTCGGGATTAGTTCGTACACAGAGAATCTTTATCTGGCCCTGATGCTTGGGATTTCCGGCTCAGGATGTTTATTCTAGGGAGTGGGGTTTGGGATTTGAAGTCGATTTAGGGTTGACAGTATGTTGAGAGTTCTGATCACTAGCAGGCCTCCGAAATTCTCCTGCACTCACAACGGCCGGCACGGTTGGCTTGAGCCGCCCAAAATTTCTGGAAAATACAGACGACTTCTCCAAATTGCGGGCCTACTTCAGGGCGTCCCGAATGATCCGACTTTCGGGGGTACATAAAAGGTGACTCCAAATATGAGAAAGACTCAGCTGCAGGTGTTAATTAGGCGCGCCAGCATTAAAGAGGAATCACTTGCCGCAGTGTGCGGTCTTGGCGAGACTGGTCGATGAGTGCATGGAAGTTCTTGCTCACAACCCCCCCGATCCATCGCGACATTGCTTCCGTCACGTGGCTGTCTACCTGAGCGAAACCGACGCTTTCTCGAATCATTCGTTTCACTTTGGTCTCATCCTCCTTGTAGAAAGCCTCAGCCCTCTCTGAGTCAACCCTGCTTACAGACTGCGTGACGGCGCGAATGCCTTGCCTGCCACGATCGATCTGTTCATGTAACAGATTTGTGGCGAGCTCTGGCATCACAAACACCACTGGAATCTTCAGCTTGGATGCGACAAACTGCTCGTATACAGTCCATATTCTGCGCAAGTACACTGGCTCGTCCCATGTGTCCAGAACCGCTACCACGCGACCTATACGCAAGAGGTTGCTCTCAAAGACTTCCTCCAAGTTGTCGCTTCCGGCACTGCATGCTTCAACTATCAAGCGAAACTGATTGTTAACGAAAATGTGTGTGAAGTGCAGTAACCTGACTATGGATCAAACCTTGGGTTAACGAAAAAACACATGAAGAAAAACACTTCTTCTGGCAGGACAACTGGGACAGCCGTGCTTCGATACATAGTAAGTGCGCTCTTCATCTGCCCGATGCTGTAACGCCATGTCCACGACATGAAATGCGTCTGCTCTCGACGATCCTTGCGAGGCAACCAGTCGACCAGCGCACAACCGGGCCTGCCATCACGTGGGCAAAGCACATTCTGACCTATCGGATCCTCAGCCAACCAAAACGAGGTTTTCATGTCAATGAAGGTGGGGTCATCCTTTCCGGTGCGCTGTCTTGCCAACTGCACGAAATCCGCGGAGAGGAGATAATGCATGCTGACTCCTGCGAGATTGCTTTGGCGAGCACGCATTTCAAGCACTCGCTGGTCAACGGTGGATTTGTCAGCACCAAGCTGCTCCAAGACGGCATGATGCTGGTGCATTATTTCAGGCATCTCTTCCCACAAATCGTCATAAAGATGGCTTAGAACTCCCTCAATCCGCTTCGCCCTGCGTGCACGCCGATACATCGCCACCAAGCGGACGAGCACGAGCAACATGGCAACCCCAAGTGCAATTAAAGGCAGGTGCCACGAAATGCACTCATCCCTGAACACCAAATGGGGAAGCCCGCATGCTCTGCAAGTGTCGAAATCTGCAACGTGTAGTGCCGGGCATGGTGTGCAACTGCTGCGATCTGGCACAGGAACTGAGCCTGGACCGCAAGGATCGCAATAAGAAGCGTTTGACCGGGCAAACTTTCCCGGCGGGCACACTTCGCAGCCCAGCAGATTGCGAGCAGGAAAAAATCCAGCCTCGCAAGGTTTCTCATCAAACGAGACTGCGCCCTGAAACATAGTGTCCTTGTCCTGCAACTGCGAGACGTCCCAAGAGCTTAAACTGTGGCTGAAGGTCACAGCATTCCGGAACATGCTGTCCATGTCTTGGACTGACGAAGTATCCCAAGACCCAATCGCTTGATCGAAAGACGTGGCACCCTGGAACATACTGAACATGCTTGTGACTGAGGATGTATCCCAAAATCCGATATCTTGGTTGAAGGAAACAGCGTCCTCAAACATTCGGCTCATCAGTGTCACAGACGAGGTGTCCCAAGAGCCAATGGTTCCATTGAAGGCCATGGCGCCGGAGAACATGCTGTTCATATTTGTCACTGCCGAAGTATCCCAGGAGCCAAGGTCCTGGTTGAAAGCCGAGGCATCAAAAGAACGTTAAATCCTTGTCTGCGACTGAAAAACCTCAAACCGCAGGGGGGGGGGGGGGGGGGCGGGGGCGAGCCCTTCTTGCGCACCCCGTAGTGACCCCCCCAAGCACCCCCTGGAGACGCCCTTGAAAACCCATGCAAGCCCAGGGTATCCCAGGGTTCTTGGGGGGTTGAAATACCCCGTGCTGCAGTGACTTTCGCGTGATGTTTGTGGTCCCCTTGTCAGGGGGTAGCAGCGGCCCCTGCGTGAGAGACTCATAGCAAAGCTACCCCAAGAGGCAGCAAAAGGCCCCAGGAAACTTCAAAAACACCAGACAGCGCAATCCAGGAGGCCCCAACATGCAAGGCCAGGGGGGGGCAGGGGCTTCGGCCGGCCCCGGCGAAAGAGAGTCCAGCAAAGCTACCAAAAAAGGTTTAAGAACCTCAAGAACCAATGCAGACCCAGGATTTGCCAGGGTTCACAAGAAGATGTACAGGCCCTTACTGGAGCCCCTTGTCTGTGTGCTGAGAGGTGGCTTAACTCCTCTTTGGGGGGCCCAGAGCCAGGGCGACCAGAAAAAACCTTGATTCATTATGAGATACGCAACATAGCAGAAAGCGTAGCTCGGGGGGCCCCGGTAGGGGTTGTCCTGGGAGGCTTGACCCTCCCAAACCCATAGCCCTTGTCCAAAAGGCTCGAGTGCCCACGGCGCTCTCACCAGTTTAGGGTTTAGGGTTTAGGGTTTAGGGTTTAGGGTTTAGGGTTTAGGGTTTAGGGTTTAGGGTTTAGGGTTTAGGGTTTAGGGTTTAGGGCCTGAGGGATGTGACCCGCGCCAGCCCTCCCCTTGTCTATCTCAGGCCTCTTGGGTCGGCGGCCTGAGCTGGAGGCTCTTACAATCCCAGGCGTCCTGGTTGAAAGACGTGGCTTCAGAGAACATTAAGTCCATGTCTTCGACTGATGACGTATCCCATGAACCTAGGGCTTGGTTGAAGGACCGAGCGCGTGCGAACATCCAGTCCATCTGCGACACCGACGAAGTATCCCAGGATCCGATTGCCTTGTTGAAGGTCGCGGCCTCATGAAACATGACGCTGAATGTTGTCACTGCTGAGGTGTTCCAGCGGCCAATGTGTTGGTTGAAAGCGGTAGCCCCAGAAAACATGCTGCCCATAGATCTCACTGCAGAGGTGTCCCAAAACCCGATGGCTTTGTTGAAGGCCGTGGCATGTTCAAACATGGCAAACATGTCCTCGACAGCTGAGGTGTCCCATGAACCAATGTCTTGATTGAAGTTGGAGGCGTACCGAAACATGTACTCCATGTTCTTGACAGCTGAGGTGTTCCATGAGCCGATGTCTGAGTTGAAGTCAGAGGCTTCAAACATGTGTCTCATGCTCACGACCGATGAAGTATCCCAGCAATCGATGGCCTGTGTGAAGGCCGTACCGCTGAACATGTACGACATGTCCGTGACTGATGACATGTTCCAAGAGCCTATGGCTTGGTCAAAGTTCCGGGCCCCATCGAACATGAAGCTCGTGTCAGTCACTGCCCTGGTAGTCCAAGAGCCGATGGGTCGGTTGAATTCAGCATAGCTGAACATTCTGTGCATACTTGTCACTGCCGAAGTGTTCCAAGAGCCAATGTCTTGATTAAAAGCCCGGGTATCATGGAACATGTAGCGCATGTCCCTGACAGATGAGGTGTCCCACAACCTGATGGCTTGGTTGAAGGTCCAGGCCTCTGAGAACATAAAACTCATATTGGTCACTGCTGCAGTGTTTCAGGAGCCTATGGCCTGGTTGAAGGCCCGAGCCCTGCTGAACATGCCGCTCATATCCTAGGCTGGCCTTTTTTTTCTCCTCTGAAAAAATCCTCAGTAAGGCCCAATTAAACCCAAGAAGGGAAAACCCAAAATATCCCAAAGGCCTACCTAGTATCGGTGACAGCAGAGGTGTCCCAAGCACTAATGTCCTGGTTGAAGTCCGAGGTATCCAAGATGTTGCCCGGAGCAAAGCTCTGGACGAGTGGTTGGTACGAGAACATGTAGCGCATGTCTGTCACTGATGAGGTATCCCATGAGCCGATGGCTTGGTTGAAGATGGAGGCATTGGAAAACATAAAGCTCATATCCTTCACTGAGGATGTGTTCCAGGAGTCGATGGCTGAGTTGAAAGCCCTGGCACCTCTAAACATGCTACTCATGTTTATCACCGCAGCGGTATCCCAGGCCCCAATGGCTTGATTGAATCCGCGCGCTTCTTGGAACATGCGACTCATATCAGTGACAGCAGAGGTGTTCCATGAGCCAATGTCCTCATTGAAGTGCAAGAGCCCTTCGAACAGTCTTGACATGGAGGTCACGGAAGAAACATCCCACTCTACAATCTGTCCGTACTTGGAGACAAGCTCAGACCTTGTGCCGGCGTCCCAACTGGCAACGGCTGCTCGCAGCTCGGCTCTGTTGTTGAAGGCTTGCAAGCCACAACAAGGCATCAAGCACAAAGCGGTGATCGAAAGGCTTAGCGGCATCGGCATCCTCTGGGCAGGCGGCGACTGCTTCAGTTCTGGTGCTTCTGGTGCTTCTGCTAGTTGTTCCTAGCTTCCGAGATGTGCAAGATGTACCTGCTTTGGAATCCTGCATCCCTCGCTGAGGGCTGTTGTCATGTATCTTGTGTTAACAGCCTGACAGACAGCAACCCGCGCACATCCTGCTTTCCAGGGCTAAGGATCTACGGCCCTTAGAGGGTGCCCAAAGTGTGGCGGTCAATCCTGTCTTTGGATGGTCGCGCCGCTCCCTGCCTTTGCCAGCAGCCGCACCTGGCAAGCTACTTGAAACGGCAAGTCAAGATGGTGAGGCAAATATCCAGAGTAAACCCTTCCAGAGCCGAACGCAAACTCTAAGCGGCCTGTAGCCTCAGGGGGGAGAAGAGTGCGGGGGTTCAGAGTCGGCAAGGGTTGAGGATGTTGAGGCCAAGTGCCCCCTTTCAGGCGGAACAGGGCCTTCATCCCAGCTTTGGGCAGCGACTTCGGCGGCGGCTTGACCTTGCAAAGTCGTGGCGTCATCTACTTGGCGTAAGAGCCCAAGAAGCCTCTAAAAAGTTTCAATGGCTTCAACGCTTCCATGGCTTGACTGTCAATGGTCCCTGCCACAACAGCTCCAGGTGCCACACCACCACGGGCTTCGGCTTCGATCTGAGTTCAAGGGGCGCTGCAACACACAGCTCGCAATGATCACTTTCATTCTCAGCACGTTCCAAGCGGTGCGCTGCGCTTCTGAGGCGGGTTTCTCACACCAAAGTTCGTCAACGCTCGACCCGAAGTTCCGCAGGCTTTGGCTACGGCTTTGGTTGCACCCGCTTCAACGGCGGTCGAGGGGCCTGGCGCAGATGAGGGCTTGGTTTGTCTACGATGAAAACGTACACGGGTTGGAGTTTCACAGGTTGAGGGCGTGGGACCTCATTTTCAGGGTTCGGAGGACCGAGTGATTGCTGGAGTTTGCCTGGGACGTGCAGTTATCACTGGACCAAAACTGATCGCGATGCCGCGGGGCCATGGGTCCAAAGACTACAACACAAACTCTCAATGACCTGGACCTGGACCTACACCACTTTTATGAGGACATACCCCTCGGAGGCAAAGGAATATTTTCATAACTTGCACTTCTTTGGCAACCCCGACCTGCTGCCGCCGCTGCAACGGCGGGCGGCCACCTCGGGGTTGAGCGGAAGGGCTGCACAAAGATGCTTCAGCTGCAGCAATGAGGGTGGCGGTGAGTGCATGTCAGTGGCATTGCTGTAGCAGTTGTTCGGGCACCTGTGCCTTCGTCGTGCGAAGCGACAACGCGTTCATGCACGCTGTGGAAGGACATCCTTTCACACTGAACCAGAATGAAACCACCCGAGTCAGTCACTGTCGTTTTGGGCCTAGTTTTGGGCAGCTGCGCTTGTCTGTCTTCGGCCCTCACAGCCGATAATCCATCGCAAGGTGGCACACACACCTGATGTTGACGTTGGCCACGCCGAATAGTGAGACAGAAACGGAGGTGCCCCATCCCAAGGCCGGCCAAGTCATGTTTTACAAAGAATTGGGGGATTGGTTCTGCAAAATTGAAACAAAATCGAATCTAAAATCGAATTTTCGTTCAATGTCATCGCCACGGCCTCAAGCATCTGCTGCATGACCCGAGAATCATACCCGCCGCAGTTTACCACTAACCCTTGATGTGTCTGCTGATGTCTGTGTCCTCGTGGTGACAGTAGCAGAAAGTGCCAGTAGCTCAGACATATCTGTACACTGGGCACGTGACTACGAGTGACGTATGTAACCGTATGTACACGAGCTCAGCCATTGGGAGAAAAACGCGTTTTGCGATGATCAGCTCTCCATGCGAGTCACAGCCATGCCAGCAACTGGGTCGCGCTGTCACGACGACAACCTGCCCTGTTCTGGACTGGCCTCGGCGGATACACAAATGCCGAACCCTGTTGTGAGCGACCCCGCTACTGTGCTACTGCGATACTGCCCTACTGAATTGCGAGATTCTGTGATAGCTGTCATGGCTCTCACTGACTGTCCTAAGCGCCCAACGGCCAGAAGGTCTTCAATCACCCCGTGTGGGTGTAGACTCCGTCCTCTGCTCCTGCCTCTGCTCCAGGCTGTCCCCCTCTCGCTCGCCTGCCCTGCGCTGGCCATCCCTGTTCTGCCGCGCGCGCTCACGCCTCTCCTCGGATGAGCTGCTCCCCACATTCCCTCAACGACCCATCGCCAGACACCAGGCAAAAAGAAAAAACAAAAAAAAAAAAGGGCGCGGCGTACGACAAGCCCATAGGAGGTCGGGTCAAAGCCTCGGAGACGTCAACCCAGAAGGGCTGAAAGAGCTCGGGGATGCGCGCCGCCTCCGCAAAATGCTTCAATCCCCCCTTCTGCTCCCTTTACTCTTACTAAGCAGGCCCACCAATACCCAGGGCGAGTCTCAAAGAAACCCCATGTGTACACTCTGCTCGGCATTCGGGTACCCGAAACGAGGGTATGCCTGCAAACCTCTAACACCCTAAAACCCCAAACGCCCTAAACACCAGACACCGACACCTGAAACCCTCCACACGCCTCAACCCAAAAAAGAAAGCTGAAAAGAACCTCCCAGAAACTTAGCTTACTTCGAACATCCCCCCCCAAAACCCTGCAGGTAAGGAATTTGCGGGGCTCACGGCGGGGTTGGGCAATCCAAGGGATTCCAAGGAATTGGCGAAAATCTTTGGGGGTGGGCACTCCAGATATTCTCTGGGGATACTTTGGGGTTGGGACTCAGGGTTCTCTGTGGGACATTCGGGGTTGGGCACTCCAGGATTTTTTTTTTGCGCGTACATTGGAGCTGTTGGGCACCCCAGAATTCGCAGGGGCCACTCTCGGGGCTGGGCACTTTCGGGCTTCTCTGGGGATACTCTGAAGTTGGGCGCTGCATGGAGCTCTGAGGATACTCTGGGGACGGGCGAGGAGAAGAGTTTAGTTTAAAATCTAACAACCCACACCGAGGTTGGTGAATAACCAAAAGACCTAAACCCAAAACGAACACCCACAAACAACAGAAAGCTCTCAGAAAAACCGACAAGAGCCCGGAAACCCTAAACCTCCAGCCCCAAAAACACACTACACTACCCTAAGCCCTAAATCCTACACCCTAAACCCGAAAACCCTAACCCCCAAAATTCCGGGTTCGGCGCGGCCTTCACGGGATCTTCCAGAAACCGCCGCGGGATGGAGGCGGCTTCCAGGTTCAGGGACTGCGAAGCTCCGGGGAGATTCTTTTGTAGCCCTAAACCCTAAACCCTAAACCCTCATCCCTCATCGGGCTTAGGGCTTAGGGCTTAGGGCTCAGGGCTTAGGGCTTGGGGCCCTTCGGGCTTCGGGGTCGAGTTTAGGGCCTTGTGGGGGGAATACGGCGTCTGGGTTTCTGTCGGGGTTTTGCAGGGTGGGGAGGCTTAGCTCGGAGGCTCCTAAGATGCACCCGGTTCGGGGGGTGGGGACAGGTTAGGCCTGATTGGGGTTGAGATTCTGGGGTTTTTGTAAGAGGGGGCCACTACTTGGAGGTGCAGGGTACTTACTAACCAATGATAGCTGCACTTATAACCCACTTATAAGCCCCTTCAGTTGTCTGATATGGTCTTAAGTACCGCTATAAGTACAGCTATCGCCAATTAGTTAGTACCCTGAACCTCCAAGTGGGGGGGGGGGGGGCATAGCGATGCCAGCTACCACCGCGCAGTTCCGAGGCAGTTGGCGAGCATCAAGCACTCAAGGCGCTGGGGTTGCAGAGGAAGGTATGTTTCTGGCATTGAATCCTGACACCCGAGCTGCAAAGACCCGGTGAGTTCAAAGAAAAAATCACTTCGGCTTGTTCTCAACATCCCGATAAAGGGTGCCGATTGATCCGATCGCACCTGCAATGATTCCCCAGCCTGCATGAGTGAGAACCTCTCTCGTGCGGGGAGCTCATGTTGACTAAGCAGCGCGGGGGTCGGTCTCTTCACGGCAGAAGCCTGGCAGGCGTGAAGGAGGACAATCAACCAACACTGGAATTGGCGGGTTTTGGGGCATTGTAGCTTTACGGATGCTGCTTCGCCGGGGGGCTACTGGTTCGGCAACTCCTGCACGTTTTATGCCACAAGAGATGCAGGTGGCAGCAACCCGGCCTGGTGGCTGACACTTCCCATTGTGTCTCGGATAGCGCGGTGACCCAAGACTTCTACTGTCCTTCGAGTCCTTCGAGCCTTCCGGCTCTCCCAAAGCACAGCACGGCATCAGCGCATGATTGCTGAGGGGTGACGTAGTCGACTTAGCCTGTATGACACTGTATGGTGCTTCCTGGCAGTGCACTTCCTTGGCGAAAGAGAACTCAACTGCCACAAGGCTCCGACCCGGCAAATCGGATGCCTCGGCCTGCCAACGTCTGCTCTCACTCAGAATACGCTCAAGCTGCCCAGGGAAATACCCACAGACAAACAATCTAATTCTGCTAAGAACAGACCGATTTTGCGACCTTTGGGGTTTGCGCTGGGTGAACGGACCATATCAAAAACCTGATGAGAGGTTTTCAGCCTGCTGGAATCGAGCGGGCCTCTCTTCTTCAAGAGGCGGGCCAGGCTAGTAGACATAGGTCCATCGCAACTTCTGGGGCGGGGGATCTCAAACACACCTCGCTGCCCTCAATGCCTTGCACATACTTGCAAGACCCTCCACAGATCGCACATCCAGAGTCTATGTACAGTCCTTGTGCGCTTCAGTGGCTGTGAGAAGCTACTGGAACGAATGCCGCAAGGCTTGCAGCGCAACTGCAGTCTTGCAAAGAGCAGAACTCATACAGAGCATCACCTTCAGCTCGTTCCAGCTGAGCTTGAGATTCCGGCTCCGCGTCTCACCTCCTCACCAGCCTGCATAAGGAGGGGGGGAGGCATGGCCAGACGTGAGAAGGGTCCACGAGCAGAAGAGACCAAAATGCAAATCAAGTTGCTTTTCCGTATGTATATACATATATATATATATACATATGTATACTTGTATATTTGTATGCCTATGCAACTTGAAACACATGTGGCAAGATCAGCAACAAGAACGAGCAGGCCAACATACCGTTAGGAGGCATTCACCTCCAGGGCAGCCGGAGAGGTCGAGGCTGAGGCGGCACATCGAAGCTCCGGGGCCTCGTCAGCTCAGTTCGTTGGGCTGCCCTCCTTCTGGGGCGTAGCGCGCCGGGGGTTGAGGTCTTTTGGGTCTTGGGGGGGTTTGGGGACTTTAGGTAAAGCCCCCTCAGCCCCTGAACCCGAAAAAAACCTCTACTCGCTGGCACACTCCTCCGACTTCGTCTGTTTTCACTCCACATCGCTTTTTGTGATTGTAGCATTGTAGAGACTTAGATCCCCACATGGGGTACTTCCCGCAATAGGGGTTACTGGCCCTCCTTACACAACCCTCAAATAGTGATTTCTCTGTTAATCAGGACCCCCAAAGAAGGTACCCGAATTTCAACGGAAACCCCGCAGACAAAAGATCAAAAGGGACATCTGAGGTCCAAGCCGGGAAGCTGGGCGATGTTGGCCAAGTGGGGCCGGACCTCCGCCTCAGGGTCTTGGACCTCGGACAGCGAAGGCAAAAGCTTGCGGGAGTGGAGCTTAGGGAGGGGAGCTTCAGGCTTCAAGGGCCCACCTAGCTGATCAAGTAAGTGGGCCCCTGGCCACAAGCCTGACCTTGATGGAAGTATGCGAACTTGAGTCCACTGAGTGACTCAGGCAGCAGCAAACTTCTCCAGCTGCTTGGCCAGACTTGCGATGTCCTGAGACGGGCGGCCCGGTTGGTGTCAGAACAAGCAAACGTGCTCTATAAGAATATGTTCTAAAGTTCGCATTGCATGTTGTGAATAGATGCTTCTCCTTGCATACATATATATATATATATGCATACAGATATATATATATATATGCATACAGTGTCAGCCATGAATATATACGTACACTGACAAAGTTGGGCTCGACACTTGTACCGGCCTCAAGTTGTCGAACGGTAGCTTCCAGCATCTGCCTCGCATGGCTTCAGCTCGGGCGTGTTCGCGGTCTAGGGTTCAGGGTTCAGGGGAATTACCCTTCTTATAAGCTAGGGTTCAGGGTTCAGGGAAATTGCCCTTCTTATAAGCTATGTCAGGGGGAGACCCTGGTGCAGAACCACTCCCGCTCTCCATCTCTGAATACGGCTACGTTGCTTGTTTGACACTGCCTTGGCGAGATTGCCTAAACCCTAAAGCTCAAAAACTAACTAGTTACCCCACACCCCAATCCCCAGGCCTAATCCAAAGGTTCTACTGACCCATAGCCAGAAAACCCTAAGCCATTATAGCCCGAAACCATCCTAATACCACCGAAAATCGGATCCTTGAGTACATCTGCAGCCAATCTCGAGGTCCCCCCAAAACATTCGCTGCTTCACCTAACGCCCTTGAACAACGCTCGGTTGAAGGCTCGGGGCCGTTTAGGGCTTGCGCATGCTCCTCCAGGAAGGGCTTGCTCCCTAAACGAACCTTTTGTTCTCTATAGATCTTGGCCGGGGGCACCTCAGCCTTGTCAAACACAAAAAAGCTTAAGCGGCAAGGTGTGCCAAGACGCAGGATGTTGCTCCAGATCGTTGAGACCTCTGCAGGCCAGCAGGACTCCGGTCAAGAATCAAGAAGAGGTGTGCTGCAGACTTGTCTGAGCGACAATCAGCCACCGAAACCGGCTACATGACGAGCTGTGTCCCGCAGGCAACGGCCCTAAGCACCCAACAAACCCACCCTGGGGCCCATGACCCTCCTGCGCTGGCAGGAGAACTGCTGGCAGTGGCTCTGCGGAAGCCCTCGCGCCTGCACCCCCGCAACACGGCTTCAGGGACACGGAGAGGGACTTTTTTAACCAAGAAAGCCTTAATCTGTTGAAACAGCGGCTTTCGTCGCGCACACCGCGCGCAGCGTCAAGGGCACACAACTCAACTGGCTCACGAACTCTTGTTCAACTTGATACGTTGGTTAGGACAATGAGGAGTATCCGGGTTGACAACGGCCAAAGAGAAGGACCAAAGGCATCACCGCACCTACGCGAGGATTGAGCCTGGAGTTTAGGCACCCTCCTAGACTGCGACTCGGATCAACCATGAGTCAAGTTCCCTGACGCAACCTTCCTTCTGTGCTTTTCTCTAGATTCTGATCCTTTCTAGTTTCTTCTGGAGCCTCCAGAGGGAGCCAAGAGAGCTGCCCATTTCTGGTCCCCCCAATGCGAGCACGCCTCAAGCACGAGTTCAAGCCACTCTCCCCATCGGCTGGGGAGGCCGGCGTCCTGGCACATCTGAGAGAGTCCGACAGGCTGCTGCAAACCACACCGGAACCGTTCCCAAGCAACGCCTCACTAAGCATAAGTCTCTCCACAAACCCAGATCCCGAAGCAGCATTTCCCCAAGCCCCCATCTGTCCGGCATCTGCGAGAGAAGCTGCTGCCCCGCGCAGGCCATGTCCGAGGCCCTTTGCCTCACCTCCTGGGGCTGATCTTGCTTCGGCTCGGAATACATCTCAGAGGGTCACCGGGTCAGCTCACTGCTCTTTGCGTTTCTTAATGAGGATCAGGGTTGCGGGGTAGAGGGCAAAGGCTTGTTATATGAACAACAGGCCGAAATTTGCGGTCTGCTTGCGATCTGCTTGTAAGCAGACTGATCGCCGCCCGAGCCTGGCCTAATGCTGCACAGCGTTTCGCCAGCACGCCGCCCCAGTCTGAAGCTTCGAACAATCCCCTCAAAAAACTCATCAACTCTCCTCAATGGCAGACAAGACGTGACCATATCGCGCTTCGGGAAGGGCACCTGCCGGCCGAAGGATTTGGGGGTCTAGGGATCTAGGGCTTTGGGACCTGTGTGGCACAAGGGTTGATCGCTAAGGGTTCTGGGTTTGGAAATTCGGAATGCAGAGCTACTTGAGGCTCCGGGAAGCTCAAGTCTTTGCAGGATGGTGATTTGGGAGTCGGATGTGTAACATCTTGGGATGCAGGATGAAGTGCTGTGGGAACACCAGGCCGGTGCAATGGGCAGCGCTTCCACATGACCTTCTCTACTTGAAGATCCTTGAGCGTACTTAGGCCTATGAAAAAATTCAGGCAAGCAGCATGATCACAGCAAGAACTTCTGTTGGGCAGCCATGTCACGGTCATTCCATGTTGCGCAAAATCCCACCGCGGGGGTGCGTTCTCTGTCTGCTCATGGGGCACACTGGTTCGTCAACTTCTCATTGATTGCTTGCGCTTACATTCGCAAAGACACTTTCCCAAGTGGATCATTTACTTCTGAATGGCACCCGGACCTCAGCCGTATCAAGCGTCTCCAAAAAAAACTACATGCACAACCTGCACCTGAGGCAAAGTACTCGAACAACATCCAAAAAAAAAACCCTCCGAGGCCTAGTTGACACTCAGCTGAGACGTGGATCCATCGGAAGAGGAAGGTGAGGCGACGTACGTACCTCTGAAACACGCCGTCTTTGGCGTCTCAGCACGTCATGGAAGGTTGAGACTTCTCCGCTCGTGCATTCCCAGGCCGTGGGGGGTTCGCCCCGGCCTCCGGCGGTGGCACGGGCTCCGGCCCCCCCTCCCCTGTAGGGGAGCTGCACTCCGTAAGAAAGGGTGGGGCAAAAAAAATCCTGAAAGTGGTCTTCTGCTGTACGCCTGGGATCTTCCCGGAGACCCCCTTTAGGGCCCGCTGAGACGCGAACGCGATGGGAGCCCTTCCCCTGAAAACCCTGTGGCCACCTTGGTGGTGGGCCTCTTCTAAGCTGTCTTCTGGACTTCTTGGCAAGCTCCCTCAAGCCCACGAGCACCCAAGCTTTGCTTGGAAACAAGCTCATTGCCACAGATAACAAGTGCGCCGGAGGTCTTGCACCACCTGCTAGAAGTGCCACGCCTTATCTGCCACCCGCCCTTGCGAACTGGAACCGCCGAGGTCCGCTGACGCACATGTCCCATGGCTTGGGCCAGCCCAGCTGCCGAGGCGGCGCACACAAGCGTTTACAACTACCCCCCCCCTTGACACGAAACACAGGAGGTGCGTCATGTGTCGTTCAACCTGACCCGCACATCTTCCGAGGGATTTGCCTGGTGCTTTCCATCAATGGCATCATAGCAGGACCTGGCGATACGACAAAGACCTTGGCTACGATACAATGCGAGGCATGGGGATTCGGGAAGGGCACCGGAGGTAAACCAGCGAGAGCGAGGACGGAGGCGAGGCGAAGAACTCCGTGAGTTGCAGCTCCACCTCCGAAAATCCGCGAACTCTGAGAACGGAAGCTGCACACAAAAAGCCCGAGAGCGATCCTTTTTGCCTCCGACATGCAAGCTCTATACACGGGAGTGCTGCCTGTTTAGCATGCGCATGTTAGGAAAAGGTGGCCAATTGTGTGGAAGATGTCAGCACGGACAAATTGAGGTTTGCAGAGTTTGCAAGAGTCCAAGAGCTCCCGCCTCGGCGTGCTCGAACGCAGCCGCCGGATCCTCACAAAGCAAATACGAGAACACAATGTGTGTATATATGTATATCATTCATGTAATATATTTGTTTACCTTATACTCATGCGCGTATACGCACCTAAACTTTCTGTTTACGGAGCCCTGGCTAATCGAAGCGAGCGGCAACACAACGTGCGGACCGATCCTGTGGATCGCATCTAGCGCGAGCTCCTATAGCCCTGAACTTTGCGCATGAATCGGGCTCGTCTCTCAGCAAACTGCTGGGCTTTGAGGGGCTTTGTGGACAGAAATCAACCGCGGGCAAAAGCTTCAAGCCTCCAACAAGGAAGCTGGGGGCTCATTGGCCTGTGCCATAAGGTCCTGCAAGGGAGCATGCACTGCAAAGCCGGTGCACAGGAGGCACAGGAGAAACAGGAGAAACAGGAGAACCAGCCGGCCCCGCCGTCAGAATCAGCATGGTGCTTTGCCTCAGGCCAAGCCATGCATGGGATAAGCAAGGACAGGTGGAATATCATGGGAAAATGAGCCTGAGCATCCGGCTGACATTTTTCGAACGGCATTCGGATGAACAGCGGATGACAAACCTTGCTGTGCCCGGGGCAATGGCAAGTCTCTTGATGAACTGACTGATTCGTGGCTGCTTTACTTGCAACTTGGTTCTGCGTGACAGGTCTGACTCCGTGTAAGGCTCGCGCGGTCACCGTGAACCAACGCAAGCAGACCTGTCATCAAAGTTGCGGCCCAGTTGAGTCCTACAAGGTTAAAATGATGTTGGGGTCAATCCTGGCCGTGGCGGAGTCTGCCACTTGCGGCAGGGAAGACCGAGACAGAAATATACGGAACCCTTCACACAACCCTTTTGCTTCTGGTCCTGCTGGAACATCTCTAGTGCTCCTAACGCCTCGTCCAAAGCCTAGTCCAGTCATGGCCCTTGTCTGCAAACAAAACAGCCCTGGGGCCCGGGCTGGTAGAAAGCCACGCAGGCCCGCAAGGCCCAGGAGCTCGACAATGACCTCTGGAGGGCGTGCACTGAGGGTTCGAGTGTCTCAAGAGATGTCGTGTTTTGCACTTCGGGTTTTTGCGCCTTTTTCTTGAGGGTTTTTGCGGCTTCGGGGTTCTTAAGGCAGAGGTCCTCAAACGGAAGCTCTGGAAGAGGCCTCCAGTAGGGGGTCCAGCATCTCGGCCGTCTGCTCAAGAGAGCCTCCCCACATGAGTGTACTCATGAGTGTACTGTTACCCGAAGATACTCTGAGATCCTCTAAGACTCTACCACACATACTTCACCAAACGCCTTCCGGCGGAACAACAGAAGTCGGCTGCATCATCAGCCTTGGCATACGGCAACAGCAGCAACAATAGCAAGCAAACGAGAACTGAGTCTAAGACGTCTCAGATGCCTTGGACCCCGAACTCTCGCTCAGTCGATCCAGGCCAGCAGCGATGGCCCCATGGCGCGCACGTCCAGCGATTTGCATGCACAAGAGCTAGAGAGCAGGTGCTGAGTGGAGATGGGCTTTTTAGTTCTTACTGCAAGAAACCAGTGCAAGCAATGCCTTTGATGTTGTCATGCCACGCTTCATTCAAGGAGTAAGCCTGCTTCAACACAACTACTGGCATCCACTTACTTCGACAGACCTCGAACCTGAACCCCCGATCTTCCCTGGATTTGAAGGTGTCGAGCATGCAGTCATATCAAAGTCTTCAGACAGGAATTGCCGGCCACCAGCAGCTAAACTCACCGGAAACAGAAAACTCGTGTCAGAAGGCGACAGTGAAGTCCACAAAAGCCGCTGGCGAGTCTCGTCCCCTGTGCAGGGCCCAGCCTCTTCCCGCGACCGTGGGGGCGGCTCATCTCCTGTTTTGTTTTTCACTCTACGAATGCACCAGGAATCTACTCAAAGGCCAGTTGCTGCCGGCACGGCTTCAAACCCCTGGCGCTGTCAGCATGGCTCCTGGCGGAGCTTCCGGGGTGACGAGGATGCCTGCGCAGCGGACCCTCACACCCCTCACGGGCCCTGTGTCGCCAAAAAACTCTCAGCTTCCTCAAGATAGAAGCGCTTAGGAGTCATGTGTGCCAGCTGTTCCTGCATTGACTTGATCGCAATTCTTGTTGTTTGTCGCACCGCCGGCCGTAAACAAGATGATCCCTGTAAAACTGATGCAGTAGGGGCCGGTTTTTTGTTGGGAAGAGAAGGGTCCAGGGTCCAGCATCTCAGTTGAAAGCCATGCCACACAGTCAGCAGTTGTTCTCTTCATGGGAAGGTCCCGTGTGTGGGATTCTTGCAGCCTTTTGAACCCCATTGTAAAATCACACAACTACTGCTTTCAAGGTTTGAAATTGGTGAAATACTGTTCCCGACGATACCTGTGACGACCACAAAGCTTTGAAGAAAGGACTGGACATGCGCGCGCACCCTTTTCCCCCTTGGCCACTGAGACTGCCCACAGATGCTCGGGAGAGAGAGAGCTCTGAACACCCTGCAAATTTGTCCCCCCAACCTTCGCAACTCGAGAGCCCCCTTGAATCTGCCTGCCATGATGTCCCGCTGGACCATCCGAGCACCGCTTAGCCCTCCAGAGGCATATCTCTGAAGAATGGCCTGAGCCAAGGGGCATCCGACCCAGGCACTGGCAAGAAGAAGAGGAAAAAGTAGGGTGCATCTAGAAAGAAATAGGGTTCTTGCACGTGCTCTGGAAGGTTCCGCATGGTTTAAACCTCTAAACTGCGCAACCCGGGCAGCTGTCTCAGGTCAGCACCAGACCGTCAGACTCCGCTTGGCGCCGGTCACCCTGGCAGTTCAGCAGTAGGAGTTGCCAACTATTTGCCAACTCTGGGACAAAAGCAGCAAGTCTTGGGCGGCTTCGAGGGCAGAACGCAACGACGTGCGTACACGTCTCAGATAGCTGCGCATCTACTCGCTGTGAGTGCCACGGCCCCGCCTGACGCCAGGTCCCACACATCTCCAACATCTTCTGACCTGACGAAAGAAGGCTTCTATGCTCAGCTTCTTGACACTTCTCCAGGTGCATGGACGTCTTAGGCTATGTAAGCGGACATGCATGGCAGACTCGCATGCTCTACGCCTCTACGCAACTCCAAGCTTGCTCCAAGGCTCAAAGGCTCGTTGAAAGTGTCGGAATGTTTCGGCGGTCTGCATGACCCTGCCTCGGCCATCGTCGTAGACGTGGCAGATGCACCGATAGCGCCTGAAACCCACTCAGTACATGTCCCGCTCGGGGCGAACGAATCGGCGCTGTTGTTGCAGGTTGTGTGAGCAGGCATTCAGGCTCACGTGACTTCATCATACTTCAGCGGGAATCCCAGGACCAACGACATCCCCTGAACATCTACAGGCCAGTGCGCAGCTTACCGTTTCTGCAGGCACGGCACATCTCCTGGCTCTTCGGAGCAAGCTCCGCCTCGGAGCTGGATCGGCTCATGTGGGTCCATGGGTCGTGGATCATACTGAGTCCTACTGTAGGCTGTGGCGTCATCCTGCCCAATGCCTTCCACCATGGGAAAAGAGGACCTTCCACCCTACAGCCAAAAGGCACCGTGAAGCAACCTCCAGAGCCCAAAGCCCAATTCGGATTCCACCAGCCCGTCTGCATGGTCCATTTCATGCCCTATGCAAGCCATCTGCCAAATCAGGCGACACCCCGCGCCTCCAATTCCAAGCCACCAACCCCTGCATGCAAAAAGAGAAGCGATGATGCAGCTGAGACAAAACCAACACAACAAGCAGCTACCATAGAAGAGGCTGCAGCAACAGTAGTCGGAACCATGCAGGCCATGCTCATTGCAAGTCACCCGGCAGCGAACCCTGAAATTTCGCTCTACAGTTCTATATGTTTTTAGTTCAAGATCTTGCAAGGAATCCTATCTTGGCCAAGTCTAGTACAGATGCGTGATTCAGGCTGTACAGTGGAACAACAATGTGTGTGTGTGTATCCAGCTCCCACCGAAAAAAGAAAGCCGAGCATCAAATGCCAAATGCCCCCCACATTCCCAAAAAAAAAACTACATCCAGACGGTCGACTTGGTGGATCCTGCCTTTGCATCTTCGCAGCAGGTCGGCGTAGGCTTGCCTTCTACCAGCCTGGTGATGCGTTGGGGAGTACGAAATGCCACAGCATGGGGCTGCTGGAGAACCCCTCCCAAAGAAAGATCGACTTCTAGGCTTCGACACCCCCAAGCCATTGGAGCGATTGAAGGTTCTAGGGCTGACGTCACAGCTTTGCCCTTGCGCACCTTGTTCTTTTTGCACAGGTGACTGCAGGAATCTATAAGTTTAGGAGGCAATGAAGCTCCAGTGCAAAGGTCAGAGCAGCCGGCGCCTGTCTGCCGCTTCTTATGAATGTACCAAGCGAAGATGGCATCTCATGCCAGATGCCCATATGCAGAGATGCTGGCAGCAAACCCAGTAAGCTGCTCTTCTGCGGTCGGATGATGGTCAGGAAGCCTCTACAGGGTGCACTGAGTCATGACGGACTGCGGGAGACCACTGTGTGCGGGCGCCGTCGGGAGCGGAGGTCTCGGACTTTCCCTGTCTTTCGACTTCAAGGGGGCCGAACCTCCAGGATCTCGAGGCAGAATGGCCACCAGGTCGTCGACCTATTCTCAATGCCTTCGACCCTTCGGCTGGACTTCACAGTTCACAGGAGGTCACAAGTGGGAGGATGATCACAGGTGGTTGTTGTGAGCGCGGAGCAGCCGTTCAATTCGCAAATGGCCTTCTTTGGCTGCGCAAGCCAGCGCCGTCTCGCCTTCGTTGTCCGCCAGGTCCTTGTCAGCACCGGCCTCCAGCAGCAAAGACACCGTCTTCCTCCATCCCTGAAGGGACGCTTGCATCAGTGCCGTGCGGCCCGTGTCATTTGCCAGATCCTTGTGTGCACCGGCTGCCAGGAGCAAGCGGACAACCTCCTCATGGCCTTTGCTGGCCGCACAAATCAGGGCAGTGTCGCCATCATTGTCTGCCAGGTCCTTGCTCGCACCAGCTTCCAGGAGCAAGCGGACAATCTCCACATATCCTTCATTGGATGCACAAAGCAGCGCCGTGTCACTGTCGTAGTTTGCCCAGTCCTTGTCAGCACCGGCCTCCAGTAACAAACGTGCAATCTCAACGTGTCCTTTGCCACAAGCACATATAAGGGCTGTGTCACCACGATTGTCAGCCAAGTCTGTGTCAGCACCACCCTCCAGCAACAAATGAACCACTTCGGTATAGCCTCGAAGAGATTTGTTGATGAGAGCTTGCCAGCCATTTTGCGCCAGGTTCTTGTCGGTGCTTGCTTCCAGGACTAAGTTCACAGTCTCCACGGTCCCGCGGAGGCATGCCTGGATGAGGGCTGTGCGCCCCTTGCCGTTTGCCAAGTTTGGCTGGGCGCCAGATTCAATCAGCAGCCGCACGATGTCCGCATGGCCTTTCCCGGCCGCACAGATCAGCGCAGTGTCGCCGTCATTGTCCATTGCACCCTTGGCGGCACCAGACTCCAAGAGCAACTTCACCGTCGCCTCGTGCCCTTCGTTCGACGCGCAGATGAGGGCTGTGTCACCATTGCTGTTCACCCTGTCCTTGTCAGCACCGGCTTCTAACAACAAGCGTACAACTTCTACGTCACCCTTGCCAGATGCGCATATCAGAGCAGTGTCACCATCATTGTCAGCCAGGTCCTTGTCAGCACCAGACTCCAAAAGCATACGGGCAGTCTCCACATAGCCTCGCAGAGTGGCGTGCATCAGCGCTGTCTGGCCAGTGTCATTTGCCAAGTCTTTGTCCGCACCAGCCTCTAACAGCAAGCGCACGATCTGCCCATGGCCTTTGCTGGACGCGCAGATTAGGGCTGTGTCGCCGTCAGTGTCGGCCAGGTCTCTGTCAGCACCAGCCTCCAGCAGCAAACGCACCGTCTCCGCATGGCCTTCATTAGATGCACAGATAAGAGCGGTGTCGCTCGCGTAGTTGGCCCAGTCCTTGTGAGCACCCGCCTCCAACAACAAGCGAACTGTGTCAGCATGGCCTTTGCCACATGCACAGATAAGGGCGGTGTCGCCATCATTGTCAGCCAAGTCCTTGTCGGCACCGGCTGCCAACAAATAACGCACGCTCTCCACATAGCCTGCGAGACCATTCAGGGATGCCTGTATCAAAGCCGTCCGGCCGTTGTGTTTTGCCAAATGATGGTTGGCATTCGCTTCGAGCAGCAGACGAACGATCTCCGCATGGCCCCTGCCCGATGCACAGATAAGTGGGGTCTCTCTCTCCTTGTCAGCTATGTCCTTGGCGGCGTCAAAATCCAAGAGCAACTGCACGATCTCCACATGTCCTCGGGATGATGCGGTCAGAAGAGCCGTTCGACCATGGTCGTTTGCCAAGCCCGCGTCGGCATTGGCCTCCAAGAGTGCACGCACGACATCTGCATGGCCCTTGGCACTGGCGCAGATGAGAGCAGTGTCCCCACCATGGTTGGCCAGATCAGCATCCGCACGGGCCTCCAACAGCAAGCTCACCGTCTCAGCGTTGTCTTCGAGCGACGCACATATGAGGGCCGTGTCGCCCTCGTTGTCACCCAAGTCCTTACCAGCACCTGCCTGCAAGAGGAAGCGGACCGTCTCTGCATAGCCTTGGATGGATGCCTGTATGAGAGCTGTGCGGCCATAGCGGTTCGCCAAGACCTTCGTTGCTCCAGACTCCAGCAGCAAGCGCACAACCTCAATGTGGCCGTTGCTGGCGGCGCAAATGAGTGCGGTGTCGCCATCTTTGTCGACCAAGTCCATCTCAGCACCAGCCTCCAGAAGCAAGCGGACAGTCTCTACGTGGCCTTCCCTGGATGCACCGATGAGGGGTGTCATGCCATTGACATCAGGCAGGTCCTTGTCAGCACCGGCCTCCAAAAGCAGACGCACGGTGACTTCGTGACCTCCTTGCCCTGCCATGCCGAGAGGTGTCTGGCCAGACTTGTCTGCCAAGTCTGGATCTTGGAGGCATTGCAACAGCTCCTCGACTTCGAAGATGTTGCCACTTGCAGAGGCCACGATGAGCCTGTGGGCCTTCTCTGCAGACGAGTCGGCAAAGCCACGCAAGATGAGCTGCAGGTCACAGGGCTCATCGACTTTCTCGTCATCCTCCAGACTACCACCATCGCGCAGGAGCTGCTGCCTGAAGGTTGAGAACCCATGTGACTTGTACAGCTGTTGCTTCACAGTCTTGATGTTCCAGATGTCGTCCATTGACATGCTGGCCAGCTCCTCCTCCTCCTCCTCAGCCCTGAAGACCCGGAGCATCTCAGATTACCTCAACCAGCGGAGAGGGACGCAGTGGAGTGTCGATCCGAACAGCCAAGGCTGGTAGCCATGGGAAAGAAGGCTACTCCGCAGCTGTTCCACTGTTGTCCTCCCTTGAGGCCCTGGGGCCACCGAACGCACCCCCAGTTTCGCGTTTGTGTACGACCTCCCCCGACTCATACCAAGTAGCACCGCCTCACCTCCTATATGCCACTGGACTCGGCAAGTAGAGCATGAGCTCCTTTACATTCCTTTACGTGGACATCGACAGCTTGCGAGCTAAACACCTTGCAGCAGGTCAGGTGACCAGGGCACAGTGACAACTCGACGAAACGCCGCATCTTGAGGGATGCACATGGTTCTCTATGTAACTGGGGTTTAGGGTTTAGGGTTTAGGGTTTAAGGTTTAGGGTTTCGGGTTTAGGGTTTAGGGTTTAGGGTTTAGGGCTTCCAGAATCCAGAGGGCGCAGAATACGCTGGGCCTCCGGTTGCCTGAGGTGAAGGACCCTGGCCTCAGCCCCAACGGGTGTAAAGCTGCGAAGTGCTGCAAAGGGCATCGAGAAACTTGACATTCACGTAGCTGCACCTACTTCACAAAAGCAGGAAGGATCGGCCGAGCTGTTCGGATTCCCTGAATGTCCGCTAACCTGGGCACCCCCACTGCATCCAGAAGCTGGCCCACCAGGGAAGAGGCATCCTTAGAGTTCGAGACAACCTGTCTCTCTCTTCGAAAGCATCGCAAGCATCATGCTGTCATGGCGAGGCTCAGTGGTGTGCAAACTTCGAGTGGCATGAGACCTCCCCTGGACCACCCCAGACAGGGGATAAGGAAGGTTGTGGTCCTGCCGCAGCCCCCATCCCTTCAAAATCCCGTTGATGTTTTGGCATCTGGGACCCCCCCTCTCAGGACCCTATAAGAAAGAAGTGCAGAGACTGCTCAGGGACCTGCTCTGGAGAACTAGTGCAGAGTGCACAGCCAGACATCTGCAAACAGCCCCAGACACAAAAACAAGCGACGAAAAAGATGCACACAAGAACGATCAACAAGCGCCACCTTCAACAGATACCCCAAGACATCTGGCTGCCCGTAAGTCTCTTGACAGAACTTGAGAGCCGTTCGAGGCCGCGAGTGGCATCCTTGAGCTGATCTCCATCTTGGGACGCCTGACGGTGTGACGGGCCCCAGCGTGGGGGTAGACTCGAGATTCGGACTTGCTGGCTAATATTAATAAGGTAAAAGGGCCTTATACTTCCCTCTACATGAGAATAGTGCTTTAAATTAGGGCTCTTATGGGGTTTGGATTGGGGCTCAGGATGTCTTCCCTACAAAATCGGCGCAAAACCCCTACGTTTCTTCCCCAACTGCAACAGCCAACTGCAAACCAAAGTTCTTATGGAGAGGGACTCCAACGCCCTAGACCCTCAAAGAACTGCCTGGTTGGGATGCTGCTGCCAGGGGCCCCAAATCAGCCGCTCGCCGCGAGCGCTGGTGGGTAAGGGCCGCCGCAGCGTGGCTGGCGGGGGAGACAATTGGTTGCGTTTGGGGGGGGCGGTGGGGTTGGGGGTGGGGGGGGTGGGGGAGGGGGGGGGGGAGACTGACTGTTGCGCTGCGTAGTTTTAGCATCTTGCACTTGAGGCTTCGCGCGTTGTCCTACACTTTGATTTCCTGGATTTTTGCCGCTAGCAGACTTTGTCTACCGGTTCCTCAACGAAAGGCAGCATTAGCAGCCATCCAGGATCAAGCAGCTAGAGCGTAAAAACTCAAGGAACCCTAACTCTGAGCAAAACGCACTCCACTCCCTAATCTTCCAGACCCACCTCGGAACAGCCCTTCCTGCACGTTCTGCTCCGTCTCGACTGTAGGCCCCTGGCCGTCTGTCTTAATCCAGAAAGAGCAGAAGGAAACGACTCTTGCCATTTCAAGCTGTGAGCATCGACTTTCTGATAAAAACTTCAAGCTGGTCTGCCAGCAAACGGGCGCGTCAGGGAACCCTTCGGGTCCCTTGGGAAGCCCAATACGGTTGCAAAGCAGGGTTGCACATCCACGTCTGAGTCTGCCCTCTCGGACAGCTTCGCGCCCATCGCCGTGAATAGGCATTCTGATGAATTCAGATGGCAGTTTGCAACCGGCGGCGGAGCACATACGGAAATATCAGGAGCTATCTGCGAGTGCCATTTTCGACTTGCATCGCCACGGGTCATGGCCACAGCCACAACATGCTCCGTTCACAACTTCTGCCGGTTGCAAACTGCAAAACTTTGAATCACCCCTGAAAGCTACGCTTCTGCCACATGCTGAGGGGCGGGAAAAACACAGCACCGTGCAAGGTCACTTGGATCGTGTCCAAGCCTCTGCGGCCAGGCCTAGTCGAGAACACGGACGGAGGCTCCAGAGGTCCCCCTCAGTCCCTCTGGTTCTCAGTAGGGAATTTCGGGAATTAAGGCCGTCTATGTACCCTTCAAGGGATCAACAAGGGTACCTCACTCCTTCAATTCCCAGCAGTGCTCCCCCTCAGCGGTCCCCTGGACTCACTCAGGACTCCCCGGACTTGGCTCAGGCGTCGAGCTCGGAAGAAACAGGCGCTGCACGAAATCAAAGATGCCGGCTTCCTCCCGCAATCCGCAATGTCAGGTTTCCAGGTTTAAGGGTCCAGGTTTCAAGGTTAGAGAGGCCAAGAGGGCTTTGTCAGGTTTTTTGGGGGACTTCACTTTACGCTTCTTGGGCTGCTTTGGGGCCCCCACGGCCTGGGCCTGCTCCAGGCGTCGCCTTCGCGCTTCGCGCCGCTCCCGGCGGCGCTCCTTCTCCATCTTCTTCTCCTCACAGGACTGACTTGGGGGGGGGAGTTTAGGGTTTAGGGTTGAGGGTTGAGGGTTGAGGGTTGAGGGTTGAGGGTTTGGAGTTTAGGGTTTAGGGTTTAGGGTTTAGGGTTTAGGGTTTAGGGTTATGGGGGGGGGGTTCCCAAAATAGGGGTGCGTTTAGGGGGTTCCTTTAAGGGATTCTATTCTATTTGGGGTATAAAGGGGGTACCCCTTTTTTGGGAAATACCGGGATGCTTTTGAGCTCGATGGTGGTCAGATGCTTCAGGGACTCTCGGTTTAGGAAGCTTCAGAAGCTTAGATTTTAGGGTGTGAGGCTCAGTATACTGTGCGGCACGTCGCCCTACGTCATCTTCACTGGGTTCTTTCATCGCTGGGGTCGGTGCTTTAGTCCGAGTACTTGGCATTGCTCCCGAGAAGGGGGGCTTCCATGGAGGGTCGGATGGCAATGCTCCCCGTTCAGATTCCGGGGCCCAGAAGGAGGGCAGACCGCAGTCTGGAGTGCGCGCCCAAGTCGCCCACTCACCCAAAAACAACAGCCCAGGAATCCCGCCCAAGAACTCGCCAAAAATTTGGGGGGACCCCTCCTCCCAACATATTGACCCTAGGCCTCCATCTCTTTCTCCTTTCGAACAGCATATGCCGTCCAACCCTCCGGAGGGTAACCTGCAACGGGCTTTCATTCAGAAAGATGCTAGGAGTCGCAAGCTTCTTCAACGTCGCAGTGCTAGCCACTGACACGCGTTGAGAGCTTTCGGCCGACCATCTTGAATCCAAAAACGTGTTGCGTTGGCAGAGCCTTCTCGCTGGGACTTGCTCATCTTCGAATATGCCAGAGGTGTGACGCAGCACCTTTCATACCTGCAGACTCACTTGGAGACTTCCAGGTCATCCATTTACCTTTTGCGGGCCATAAGGCCATGAGCACTCAAACCTTCCACTCCGAGCCCCCTGCTTCTTGCAAACATCGCCTTACTCGCATCTCCACATCTGCAGAACGCTGCTCCACTTGGCTTGCCACTGGAGCCCTCCACATGCTGGCTAGGCGCATTTCTCTGGCATGTACTTGTCCTTGCCATCATACTCGAAGTAGTAGGGGCACTTAGGCCTGAAACTCATGTGATCTCATGGTCAGTACCCTGCAACTGATGGGGCTGCGTCTGAAGTGCTGTGTGACTTTGCCACATCGAAAAAAGTCACGTGTCTACATCCCAAAAGATCCTCACTGCAACATGGCTGCTTATGGTGGTGGTTGCCATGAACCTCCACGACCTTCCGGTTCGCCAAGCACTGCCAGCAGAATTCCATGCGACAATTCGGATTGCCTGGAAGGCAATCATGAATCGTGGATTAGCCGTCCCTGCGCAAGAGTTCTACTTCAAGCTCGGACCATGGTATCCGTTCATTGCTGTGTCTGAGCATAATTCGTACAATTAAGAGATTTAAGATAGCTACTAGATAGCTCTACTATCATCCAATGCGTTCTTCTGACTGCTGGATAAAAGCCAAGCAGCTGCAGTAGATGTGATCGCAGTCATCCTCATTGTCCTTGATGACTGGTTGGAAGCATCCCGGACACATCTTGTAGCCAAACCTGGGTGTGGTCTCGTGGTTTAGGGTTTAGGGTGTAGGGTTTAGGGTTTAGGGTTTAGGGTTTAGGGTTTGGGGTTTGGGGTTTAGGGTTTAGTTTTTAAGGTTTAGGGCTCCCCCCTAAAGCTGGCTAGGCAGCGGCTGGAGATTCTCACGGAAGTCGTCAATCTGCTCGCCCCTGTGTGTGGCAAGTGCCGGCAGCTTGAGAGCTTCAAGGGCTCCAAAGAGCTCTGGTGGTACACTTAAACACAAAACCCCAAACCCCCAAACCCCAAACCCCAAACCCCCAAACCCGAAACCCGAAACCCTAAACCCTAAACCCTAAACCCTAAACCCCCAAACCCGAAACCCTAAACCCTAAAAAGGGTCAGCCCGGCGGTCCCTATACTTTCAAACCATAAGTTACCCCTTGCAGCTTTGGGCTGAAAGCGCGGCGTTGACGCCTGGGAGCTTAGGAGTTTAGGAGCTTAAGGTTAAGGGTTTGGTTGGGCTCCCTGCCCCTGTGATTCCCGACTGCCAGCACAGGCTGAGGCGCTTCCGGAAGAACCACTCCAGGTCTTTGAAGAGCTCAAACTGGTCTAGAAAGACTTTGCAACTGTGTGTCTCCTCGGCTCAGGGTGTAAAACACGTGGGTAACACATGGGAAGCAGGCTTCCGAAGCCTGCTATCTGCTTGACACGCTTTGCACAGAGAACCTGGGGCGCGAAATGAATTTATAAACTGTTGAGTGGCTTTGTTGTTTGCGTGGTTGGTTTCTTGTGTGTGTGTGTGTTTTCGGTTCTTCCCGTGGGTCCGGATGCTCTCGCCGAGGCGACGTACATGTTTCGAACGGTGATCGATGAACCTCGGGGTGTTTCCACGTCTCGCCTATGCGCTGCACATGGCTGGGACCGGAAGCGTGAGGAGGCGTCCCAAGCATCGCAACAAGAACGCTTTGGCCTGGCAGAGGGAGCCAAATCACACTCTCGCCCAGGTGATGACAAGCTTGTTGATGCCAACGAGTACTGGCACCAAGAATACCAGGAACTAGAACTAGAACGAGGACGTGTTCTGCGAGCAAGAGAAGTATGTAAGCAAGCATGCATGTATGTACTGGTTAGAGTAGTCGTCGCTCGTGCTGCTTATGTATGTTGTTTCGCTCTTTGGTGCATATTTCGTTCGCTCTGTCACTAGAGAAACATCATGGGGCAGAGGCCGGAACCCAGAAAACAGATGAAACGAAACAAACAGTAAACAAAACAAAAATAGCAATACAAAGACGTTCAAAGAAGAATAGACATATATATATATATATACATATATGTATATGTATATGTATGTGTAATTATATATATATACTCACCATGAAGAATGCCTTCAAAAAGCATTCTTGATGGTACATATGTATATATATATATATAGCTCTGCAACTTTCCTAGTGACAAAATTGCTGCTTGGCGTCGAACCAGGGCCCTCGGCACTTTACGCAAAAGCGGCCCTGGCACTCAACAAAACGGGCACCCGGCACTGGCATGTGAAGAACCCCACATCCGTGCACTGTAGCAAGGGAAGGGAAGACTCTTTGGTGTCTGACTGCCTTTGTGTGAAGGAATGAAGAGGCGTCCGTTGGACCTGCCTTGCACTTGGTGCAGTCCGCGCAAGTCATCCGATAGCCCGGGCGTCGCTTGGCGACCCCCTTCTCTCCACAGACCATGCAGTCGACCATCTGGACAAGGGCTGCAAATCCCAGGGTCGTTTATGCAACATTCAGTACCACAGCACATGGAAACGGCCTCGGGGTAGTTCGGGTAAGTGGGCTGCGGATCTTGCGAGCTCGAAGCGGCCATGAGCTTTGCGGTGTGAGGAGACGGAGAAGGACAAACAGAGATCGAAATGCTGCGAAGCACGGCAGGGTTTCAAGCACTGATGAGTCGTTGCCGAGCTCGATTGCAACCCTTCCCACCCACTCCCTTCAGTCAGAGCGGCAGAGTTTGCGAAGCACAAAGTGCAATGTACAACCCTAAACCAAAAACCCTAAACCCCAAACCCCAAACCCCAAACCCTAGACTCTAGACCTATCAGGGCCAAGGCCAAGCAAGCCCCCACAAGCCGCCCCCAAGCACCTCCAGGCCGGGACGAGGGCTCTGACCTAGCTTTGCACGCTGGGCTGGGTGGTCTGGGCTGAGCCCCTACAGTCCTTACTATTATGATTATTTTTATTATTATTCATATTAATATTTTTTGTGTTATTATATATATATATATGTATATATACCCTAATAATATAGTAGTTCCAGACATGTCCAGACCCTATTGCTATTTAGAGTGGCCCAGGACGGGGGAGACTTCACAAGAGGCCCTTGGTACAGGAACGACACCTTTTCCAGTGTCTGGTGAACAACAAAACAAGCTGGGTAATGCCAGTGTGCCCACTGCACCTTGGTATCTCACCCTCAATGCAGTTTTGGCCTTGTAAGCTAGAACTGCCCAGTTGGGTTGGATGAAGTGCCCAACTAAAGCTGCTCATGGATCGACTTGCACCAGAGCAAAGAAGCATAGCCAGTGCTGCCCGGATCAATGTAGCAAAATGTTTGCAGACCCTACACAAGCCATAAATTCACAATTCGCAGAGGTCGTGTTGCTTGTGTTTGCGTCCTCTGCGCATCATGTAGCAGAACCCCTCAACCAAAAAGTCTCGCTCTTCCATCTTCAGTTCTTGTCGTTCTGTTTTCTTCTGTGTTATGGACCCGGGCTTAGGACTAGGAAAGTCGGCAATTCGGACTCGATAGGAAGAAAACGGACCCGATCCACATGTCGGGGACACCCAACACGAGTTGTGCAGGGTTTCGTGCTCGCTCTCGCTCTCGCTCTCTCGCTCTCGCTCTCTCGCTCTCGCTCTCTCGCTCTCGCTCTCTCGCTCTCGCTCTCTCGCTCTCGCTCTCTCGCTCTCGCTCTCTCGCTCTGCTCTCTTTCTCTCTCTCTCTCTCTCCCTCTCTCTCTCTCGCTCTTTTTCTCTCACTCTCTCGCCCTAAGCCACCCCAAGCCAGAACCCAGGACGCCTGCGCTCTCCGCATTGGAAGAGCTTGCGGGCTTGGCCTCACCGAACGGAGAAAGCAGAAAGAGCTCCTACTCTAGGAGAGCTCTGCACTTGCAGCATGCGACTCTCAAGGTGTGGAAGCATGGCAATCATGATTGCCATGCTTCAACCCCCCAAGGGTAGAACTTACGCAGGAACGCACCACGAAACTAAGCCGCCGGCCTTGTCTGATGGACCACTCTTCGATCCATTCTGGTTGCTGGCAGGGCCCGTGCTGGCACCTACTAGGCTGCGTGCATCACGCCCACTACAGGCCTCACATCGCCTGCTCCCGAAGAATCGCGAAACCACGCAAGTCACAGGGGCACAAGCGCACTGCAATGGCTGAAACCCTGGCTTCCCACCTATGGGCGGGGTCATCTTTGCGCCTGGCAACACTGCGTTCCCTGTCAAATACTGTCAAAAACTGTCAAGGACAGGTCACTGGAAACACTTCACAAACCCGGGTCGCCTATAGCTTGCGCCGGCGCGGCGCGGCGAAGCTCCTTCAAGGAAAGGCTCGATGGAAAGATGTGCTTCGGCGATGGCACAAGTGGTAGTCTCGGGCTTCAGGGCTCAAATGCTCAATCTTGGCCAACAAACAAACGCTCACCCTGGACCTGAGACATTTAACTCGGTGCAGTCTCCGTCTACAGTCACCTTCACCCCTAAACCCTAAACCCTCAACCCTAAACCCTAAACCCTAAACCCTACACCCCCCCCCCCCCCCCCAACCTCACCGCTGGACCCTCGGGCAAGACGGGGAAGCGGATGCAGCCCGGCCCCAGGCAGAGTGAACAAAGTGAGAACACCTAGGGTTAGGGTTTAGGGTTTGGGGTTTGTTTGGGGTTTTGGGGTTAGGGGGTGGGGTTTGGGTTTAGGGTTTAGGGTTTAGGGTTAGGGTTTAGGGTTTAGGGTTTAGGGTTTAGGGTTTAGGGTTAGGGTTTAGGGTTAGGGTTTAGGGTTTAGGGTTTAGGGTTTAGGGTTTAGGGTTTAGGGTTTTAGGGTTTAGGGTTTAGGGTTTAGGGTTTAGGGTTTAGGGTTTAGGGTTTAGGGTTTAGGGTTTAGGGTTTAGGGTTTAGGGTTTAGGGTTTAGGGTTTAGGGTTTAGGATGCGTAGATTTGGGTAGAGCGTCTTCATGAGCACCGAACTCGCCGAGATTTCATGGCCAGAGCATGCATTCCAAGTGCCAGGGAACACCCGAACATGACTTCCCTGCACAACGAACAGGACCTGAGACACTGCACCTGAAACCCCAAACTCCCGTCACATCCCTAAGCCAGAAGCCCACCGTGCCCACCGGCCTCCAATTGGCGCCTTGCAATGTGCAGAGCAACTGCCAAGGACCAACTGACGCAGCATCCCTGCTCCCGGAAGAAGTTGCCCATGCTTGAGGGTTCTGAAACTCAGTCATGGCAGGGATGGCGGGGTGTCAGAGTGCCTCTCAACAAAAGCTCCTCTGAGATCTTTGGAGGCTGCCTTGTCACGGCTCGAACCAGAGGATGCACCAAAACCTGTGAGTCCAGCGGTGGTTGGAAAAGTGCTGCAAACTTCTTCCCATTCGTTAATGGCACATGAGACTCGGGCACGTTGACCTTCAAGCTTCGCGAAAGAGAGAATCGCAGCAGTCTCAAGTTTAACCGGCTGGTTCGCAACGATTCATCAAACATGCTTCTGAAATGTGAGTGAGGGAAAGAGAGGAGGGAGAGAGGGAAAGAGAAAGAGCATGGAGCGGGGAAAGGAGTGGACGGCCAAAACGTCCCCAACTTACCCCCGCCCTTGCGCCTTCGCCCTGCCCGGTAAGGGACATCGGCGGTGGCACGTCGGAGAAGTTGCTGCCTCCAGGGGTCGCTGAAAAAAACATAAAAGCAGAAGCAGAAGCAGAAGAAGAAGAAGAAGAAGAAGAAGAAGAGTAATAGGATAGAATATGATGTAAAACAGTCTTAATTTTTAACTGATAAGATGAACTCCTTTCTTGTTCCGCACTGATTTGCCAGAGACATCCCCCAAAGTGGCCCCCACGTTTCTCATGATGTCTATGCCAACCTGCACACTTGATCCTCAACAAATAAGAATCAGCCGAGGCGTGTCACATTGCAACAACCAAAACTGAACGTTTGCTCACCGCACATCACGAGGCTTTGCCGTGTTCCACAACGCCCACTCTAGGGTGGCAAGATCTGACTCATCCTAATTATTCACTCTAGGGTGGCAAGACTCATCCTAATCCAGGAAGGCAGAATGAACTGACATGCTGGGGTGCTCATGCGAACTATATGCAAGCACCCCGCCTCTCCGTCGACTCCGGCTTCGACGTGAATAATGCCCGGCTGAATCTGAGCAAAGCGGAAGAAGCTATGCACTGAAAGCTAATTTTCCATAGTGCTTCTCCATCTCTACTTGAGAGCGTGACAGGTTAGAGTTATGGGGCTTGGAAAACAGCTTGGCAAGCTCCGACCTTCGCGCCCTCGCTTGCGCTCGCGTGAGGAGGCCCGCCTTGAGAGATCCAAGCGCAATTCATCCATAAGAAGCATGAATTCCACAGTACACAGTGCAACTACATGTTTCAATTGTGGCCTGTTGCGGGAATCGCCCCGTCCACGATCTCGGTCGCGAGGTTCATGGCTGCTACGCTGGTCCCACCGAGATTCCCGTTCACGGTCACGGTGATCCCGGTCCCGACGATCCCGATCGCGGTAACGTTCATCACTGCGGTCGCGCTTCGGGCGCTCTCGCAGGATGACCTCGCCACTCTCATACCGCCGAGCGCCTTGTGAAACCCCTTCTTTCCCTTCCTGTCGCCGTGAGCGCGACCTGTGGGTGTCCCGTCCACCGCGGTTGCCGCGGTCACTGCGGTCACTCCGGTCGCCGCGGTCGCCGCGGTCACTGCGGTCGCCGCGCTCGCCGCGGTCGCCGCGCTCGCCGCGGTGGCGGTCTCGGGACCGGTCACGGGACCGGTCACGGCTGCGGCTGCGTTTGCGAGGCTCTTCGCGAGGCTCTTCGCGAGGCTCTTCGCCGCCAGCAACCACAGACAGAAGGTTATCGACTCTTGCCTGGAGTTCATCTAGCTCACTGGAGCTCAATTTGGCCATTCTGCTACATGGGATAAACTGGTATGAAAAGGCTCCTGACGCTGTCTCTGTCCGCTTGCCGTGCTGTAGGCACTTCTACGTGGCACAACCAAGGAGCTGACTTAAATGCTTGTTACATCTTTCTTTTGCTTTAAGTAAACCTGCAAAGTGCATCACCATGAAACGAAAATGCGGAGGGTCTTGCGTTGTACGAGCTCAGTGCTTGGAACTAAAAAGCGATGCCTCATGCTCACCGGAGGGTCTTGGCATTGCAAAAAGTATGCTGTGAACCAAGGTGGAACTGCGAGCCACTGCAATATGCTTACACAGCAACCTCGGCATATCCATCCTGCTGTTCAGTTGCACCAGCACAGACATTTTCAACTGGCACGCGCTGCTTGCTGCTACGACGCAACACCACAGAACCAATCACCAGCATCGTGGGAACGATGTCCGCTAGCGGCGAAGGCACACAGTAGCGCCAACCACCAGAACGCCAAGAAGAGCCAGAAGGAGCGGGATGAGAATCGCGGCCGTCAAGAACAGCACAGCAATGACCGCAATGACGATGACAATAATGCCAAGCACGATGGGGTGGACAGCTGCTTCCAGCTGTGCTTCCATGGATTTTTCCCTTGACGCTGCTTTTGCTCTTTTGGCCCCATTCTGAAGAGCTGATGACGCATCATGTCGATCATGTCGACGTGCAGCTTGCTTCAGCTCCTCCCACGCCGTCTTGTTGTCCATGAGTTGCAAGGCGGCCCAGGTGTTTTCGCGCCGTTGTGTTTCAGTCAAAGCAGAAAGATGGTCGTGGGGGACTTTCGCTCCAAACTTTGTGACCAGCTGGACAAAGGAGGCCTCGCTCTCCGCAAGGTTCTCTGCAGTGATATCGGCTTGCCTCAAAAACTTGTCGTCCTGCTTCTTCAACAGTGCTTCTCGGCAGTCCGGTGTAGATGAACTGTCGCAGTCGTGCACTTCCCTCGCCTCAACGTCTGCTTGAGCCATGACCGTCCTCAGCTGATCGTTCGTGATCTCTGGAAAGACCTTCTTCAGGAAAGCTTTGGAATCATCAGGTGTGCCCTGGACCCCATTTCCCTTAGACTTTGCATCGTTCAGGCCATTCACAAGCTCCACCATGGAACAGGAACTCTCATTTGGCATTGCAGCAGCAAGGGTTACCAAGGACCGGTCCACTGTGTCTGCCAATTCAGCCATCTTGCTTCTGAGGCGAGGGCCGCCTTTGTTTTCAACCATGGCTTTATCATATTGCTCCATGTCTTTCAGCTCGTATGAGATGACACTCAACTCCATGATGGCTTGACTACTTGAGTAGGCGTCAATCTTTCGAGATAAAGCATCCACATCCACCGCATAACCATTCGCTAGGTCAGCGTCAGGCTTCACCGCACATGGGGCAGCATCCGTACAAATTTTAGGATTGATACAACCCCAAAGTGCTCCATCACACAATGGTTCTGCCTCTGCTCCGTGGCGGCTGATCCCTTTGAGATTTGCCGCAGCCTGTTGCAATTCAGCCAGTTCCGTAAAAACATCCACAGCCGCACGTTCGGCATTCACCACGTAGACCTCTTTGCCCGCCAAGAGGAACAGAAAGAAACAAACCTTGAGTTGCGTGCGGCAACTTGAGGCTGCCATGGCGCCAATAGGGACAAATGCTCACAAACTACGGATTTCAGCCTTGAGCTGTTCACGGCCAAGGTGACAATGACAGCTTACAACGCACCTCACAACACGGTTTATTCTCTTCACAGGCCGAGTTGTTGCATTGTGCGACAAGACATGGAAGCATTCGCGTGCAATGCATGTCTCCGACACAGACGTAGAAGACGTAGAAGACGTAGAAGTCGAGGAACATTTTTTCTCAATCAGCTGGCCAGAAGAGCCAGAAAGCCACGAAAAATCGAGAAGAGAGGAATGAGAACCGCGGCCATCACGAACCTCACAGCAAAGACTGCAATGACATGACCATGATGCAAGCCCGACGGTATCCTCATGGTCCTTCCAGCCTGTGCCTCTGGGGAAACCCGGAGGAACTGATGCTCAGCTTGGTGCAGACTCGTTAGCACCTGAAGAAGCAGACAAGCATGAAAAACGCAGAGTGGCCGCGACCCCACGGGAAAACCGGATGATGTGACAAACCGCATGGTCAAGAGCGTGGTCAAAAAGGTGGCTCGTGGCTGGAGCCATCACTTAAGTGGTCAGCATTTCATTCTTCTGCACCTCCGGTGCTCTCGGTTTCAGCTGATCTGGATCTGCTTCCCGCCAATGTGAAAAAAGGGAAGTCCGCGAGTCGCCTTTTCGCATTCACCTTAATATGCGCATTCGTAACGGAATGGTGGTTGCTGTGAACGTGGATGTACTTGTACACGTATGTTTGCAGCTGACACGCAATGGCAAGTCTGCACTCAACGCTTCCGCCCGCCCGGCAGCTCTGGCTCCAAGGTTAAGTGCTCACTGCCAGTCCGTCCCCTATCTAACCGTCCTTCTGTCTTCCTTGCCGCACTGCCGTTCTTCGCTGTGGCCGCTTTTGTGGCGGTTCCTAATCGATCAAAGCATCGTTTCCGCCCGTTCGTCACCTTCTTTCTCTTCCTCTGCGGTGACGACATCTTCATTACATCAGCTCGTCAGAGTCCTTCTCATCTTGTTCTTGCTCTTTCAGGGCTGCCAATTGTCGCACCCTTGTTCCATATCCCGTTGGGATCTTTACAACTGGACTGAATATTCTCTTTGTCCCTTCGGACATCAGGGCGTCGCCATCGATTCCTGAAGTTTCGCCGCCCTTTTCTTGTTTTTTTGTTTGGTTGTGTTTACTAGTTTGGTATTGTCCCACGTTCCTCTCTCTCCGGAAGCCTGGTCTCGCCTGTCTGCCTACGATTCTCCGGGGTTTCGTTCCATCCGAGCTCGCGTCCGCCTACGGGTGCGCATCCACAACATCCGCCGGCCTGGGTGGCTTCGTGCGCCTGCCCAATGGGAGTTTCTAAAACACATTTTTCCCCTGCCCAACTGCACAGCATGTTCCCTTGGTTTCCGTCGCGGCGTCTTGCAAAGAAATCACTGGCGAAAGGTTCTCTTCTCCGTTTTCTTGCTGCAGGAGCGCCACATGTCCGTTCACATTGATCACACTGCGTGCGTTTTCACCCACTCGAGCTTGACATGTCCAGATTCCTGGCGTGTGCTTGAAAAATGCTGGCCTCCGTTACCTTGTCGGGTCAAGCATCCGCCTGAAAACGTTGGCGTACTGTAGTCACCAAACACCACAAAACACAGCCACCAAAACCCGCAGCAACCCGCCAAAACCAAAGCACCAAAGTCTGTGTGTCCCCCGCGCTCAGCACTCGAGGTCGTCCCAGAAATGTAATGGTCGCAAAATGCGAGGGTTGCCAGATCATCAAAATCACCATCATGAAGCCACTGGTGCAACGAAGGTCGGCACGGAAAGCTGTAAATCGAGGAAGGACAGCAGATTTACCGACCGACACGGTCAGGTGCCAGGCACAAGAAACAAAGAAGCGACTGCGGAGCGGAGCAAGCCCGAGTGGGCACCTCATGGTGAGCAGGCGAGCGCCAATGCTTTTTAGCGGGAAATGCGCCCATCGGAAGATGCGGATGCCCTGAGCTGTTTGCATCTTAGTCGGCCTTGCGAGAAGATAACTGTCTATCTGGTGTAGCCCCTCCCTCTTGCTGGGGGAGGAGGTCTTTTATTTTTGCCTTCTGTGTGCGCCTCTTTCCGCTGGCATTGCGTCTTCTTGAGGCCGCGGCTTGCAGTTGCCACCTCACACGTTGTTTTTCCAGATGCATGATCTGCCCTTGGGGCTTTTGCTTCTCCGCCCACCATGAATTGGCCCCCATGCTCGGGAACTGTGCGCCCTTTTGAGTTGGCACTATTTGCATGTACGCACCTGCCTGCCACGCATTGTGCTGCCGGGGTTCTGGCACATCGCATTTTGCGATTTTCCCACACGACTTGGTGCTGCGTTGGCTCGAAAGGCATTACATCGACGAGCTTGAGTGCTGAGCGCGTGAGTCTCAGTGTGTTTGCTTTGGTTTTTCGCACCTGCTCTGTTTCACCTCTAGTGTTGAGACCCACAAGAACGGCCTACTGCGCTGACTCAGTAAAGAGGCGTCGGTTCAAAAAAAAGCTCCGCTTGTTGGGAAGATCGACCGGTTCAGAATCAGTGGAACTGGGGCCAGCGTGACCGTTGTTAAGGTGATCGCCGATGACCGTCAAGAAGCTGGATATGGTGGCAAAATTGTGGTGGCTGCAAGTTCATGTCTCAGAACCCGCGTTGATCAACACCATCAAGACCTTTCTATTTGTCAGCGCCCCTTGCGTAAAGGAATCTGATTGCGTCCTGGTTCAGAAACTCCAAGACACCAAGGATCATCAAACTAGAGTGCTTGCGTCCATTTTAAGATGTTCAACCCGGCTGACTTTTACCTTCAAGCTGATCGAAGCTTCGTATGCACCACGTGGATCTTGACGGCGCAGAATCTCGATGAACCTGGCAACCAAAGTTTTGGCGGCCTTCAACAAGATCCAAAAGTGTTCGAGCATGTTCTACAATGTTCGTTTTTCTTGAAACTTTTTTGTCGGAACTTGTTTTCTGTTTGTGATCCAGTTTGGTGACCAGAAGTAACTCAAGCCACCTAAGACGTGCCAGAACCTACCCACAGTGTTTAGAAGTAGAAGTTCCATGGCTGAGTGTTTACCTGAAGTACCTATGTCTGGCAGACAGTGTTGAAAGCTGGAGAGGCGTGCTTTGCATTGGCTCAAGTCGAGCGGACTTGAGCAATTGTAAACAGCGCAGTTTAGAAAAGAGTCCGCACTTTGTGCCCTAAGTTCCACAGGGCTTTTTGGTGCAAGGTCACCAAGTGCCCGTGGAAGAAGAGAACGTGGAAGGTCTTTACCAGCACCACCTTCAGTTCCACGCGGAGTAGATCCAGGCAGTGAACAGCTACGACTGGAGCAGGCCATCAGCCACCAGTTGGGGCTGTGCCTTTGTTTGGACTTCAGTTCTACTAGATGGGAACACACCCGCTCAGACAGCACCACAAGAACCCCTTCAAGTTCCGAATATGCAGTTGCCCGTTGCACCTGGAGTAGCTCAACAGATGGAGTTCACAAGAGCAATGCTGCAAGCACAGGACGAGCAGATCCGACAGCAGGCAGCTCAACTTCAGCAGATGAGTGCCATGCTGACACAGGCATTGCAGCTTGCAAGTGCGAATGCTGCCAATGCACATATGGCAGCAGCTACAACTTCATCGTCGACGAGTCCTACGCCTGGAGGAGACCCCTCAGCAGCATCTGCGAATGCATCGACCCCTGTGGATATGGAAGTAGACTCTGGAGTACGAAACAAGAGGGCACACAGTTGCCTCAGCTGAACTATGCGTCCATGACGAGTAGACATGCTGAAATCCGAGTTTGGGCAGCTTACAGAGATGAACTTACAAGCTGGCTTTGTTTGCTTGACGACCGGTACGCTACGGAGTTGCAGGAGGCGATGAGTAGCAGTGTGGAAGTTTTGCAAGTGAAGCTTGAAGCCGGGAAGGCAGCTCGGTCGACCAAACTTTGGTTTTTGCTTCGTCAGTCCATGAGCAAGTTCCAGCGTGGACAGGATTTGGTGCATCTCATCGAGGTGACAGATGGGAGCAAGTGCCGGGTACGAACTCTGGCGCTTGCTGAACAACGAGTTGTCCGTTCGCTCCAGAGTAGAAGGACAAGCCCTTCGCGAGCAGGCATTAGGCCTGGTGCCGCCAAAGCACCTGAAGCGGCCACTTGATGTCGCTAGGTGGTACACCACAGAACTTCTCAAGTTCGAGGCGCAGGTGAAGCATCGCTTCCCGGAGTTGCTCATCGGAGAACAAGAGGGAGTCTTGTGCCTGATGAAGCACTTGGATGCTGAGACCAAGAGATATCTGCTCCTCCATCACTCAACGAAGAGCATGGGTGAGCTGATGACTGGTTTACAGTTTTACGACGAGCAGCTTCGCGTGATGGACTTCCAGAGAGAAGGAGCATCCGGGTATGCGAATGCCTTCAAGGGTGGCAAGGGCGGAAAGGGCGACAGAGACAAAAGCAACAAGGCTCCAAGGGCAGCAAGGGCAACAAAGGCGGGAAGGACAGGAAAGGCAACAAAGCGAGAAAGGAGACAGAGCTCGGAGCAAGAGCAGAGAGGCGAAGAAGACAGATGTCTGCCGGAACTGCGGGAAGACTGGACACTGGGCACGCGACTGCTGGGCACCTTCGAAGGACAAAGCCGCAGCGGCGACGAGCCAGACCATTACGACGCAGCCGGAGGCACCCTCGTCTTCATCGTCTACATGGGCGAAAGCAACAGCGCAGCACACAACCAAGGGTAGTGGAAAAGCACAGTCATCAATCAAGACGTTTCTGGAAGGATATCACTTTGGTATGATGCTCACGAACCAGGTGGTTAGTTTTCCTTCAGATGATCGCATTTACTGGCTGATTGACTCTGGTAGTTCGTTCCACATCATCACGAGAGAGACGCTTGAGAGCGACCACGTGAAGATCCTTAGTTGGTTGGAAGGACGCCCGAAGTCCTATGCGGAGACTGCGACTGGAGATTCCGTTGAGATTGGCGGATCAACACATGTTTTGGTGGAAG